AACACCAACACCGACACCACTGCCGCCAATACCACCGCTCTTGCGCCGGGTGCCGGCTAGCCTGCGCCGTCCGGTCGACGACGATGGGCGACTGGCATTGACGCTGAGATGGCCGTTGGCTGTAGCAAACACGCTGTTGCACGCGCTGCTGCAGGTGCTGGCGGTGCTGCTGGGCACGCCGAGGCTGTTCACGCTGCCCATCGTGCTGTGCGTGGTGGCAAAGTGGGCGTGGTTGAGCGGTGTTGGCGTGGACGTTGCTGACCCTGCCACGCTGTCGCGCGTGCTGCGGCCAGCACTGAACACGGACATGCAGTCAGCATCGTCCTCCTCCTCTTCATCATCGTCGGTGTTGATGTTGGCATACAGCGGCCCGTCAGAGGCGATGGTGTCGTTGCTGCTGCCGTTGCACAGCGGTGCTGTCATGCTCTCATTGCTGCCCTCGTTGCTCGTGCGCGCGGTTGTGTTTGATCGCAGCGGCGACGAGCGGCGTCGGACCTGGTGCACTGCTGCTCCCGCTGCCAACGCCAATGCCGGTGGCGATGCTGACGACGCTGGCGCAAACACATTGTTGTTGTTGTTGTTGTTGTTGTTGTTGTTGTTGTTGTTGTTGTGGTTGTTGTTGTTGTGGTTCTTGGCGTTACTGTTGCCGGCGTTGGGTGTGGTGGTGAAAGCGCTGCTGCCAATCTGATCGCGCCGCATGAGACGGGCGGCAACAGCGGCCTTCCCCTCCTGCCGCAGTGGTGTTGCAGCTGGCGTCGCGCTCGCAGTCACGCGCATGGTGTTGGTCACGCCATCGCACTCCCGCAAGAGATGCGGGTGATCAAAGGGCTGGAGTGCCTCTGTGCCAAAGCGCTCCGTCCACGCGTGTGTGTACAGCTGCGCCGTCGTTGCTCGCTGCGTCTCGTCCTTGTTCAGCATGCGGTGGAGCAGGTCAAGCGCCTCGCTCGACAGCGGGCGGCGCAGGTGGTGGTCGCTGAAGTCGATGGGCTGCTTCTGGATCACGTTGTAAATCTCAAACGCCGTTGCCCCTGAAAATGGTGTGCGGCCAAACAGGAAGCAGTACAGCGTGGCCCCAAGCGCCCACACGTCCACCAGTCGCGCGTCAAAGCCAGTGGTGGAGGCGGTGGCACGCACGCACTCCGGCGCCATAAACGCAGGCGTGCCCTGCGTGTTGTGCAGCACGAAGCCCTCCTCGTCAATGTCAAACATGTGCGAGACGCCAAAGTCGGTGATCTTGATGGTGTCATCGCTCATCAGCAGCAGGTTCGACGGCTTCATGTCGCGGTGCACGATGCGTTGGTGGTGGAGGTAGGACAGGCCCTGCAGTGCCTGTCGGAAGTACGTGCATGCACGTCCCTCGCCAAGCGGCTTCACGTCGTCTGGCTTTGACATGTCCATGACGGGTCCTTTGGGCAGCAGTTCCATCACCATGTACACAATGTCGTGTGCTGGGTCGTTGATCACCTCGTACAACTGCACAATGAGCTTGTGGTTGATGTGCTTGAGAAGCTCAATCTCACGATCCAGCTCGCTCATGTTCGCAGTCGTGGTCACGTGGTTGTTGTTGACGCTGGATGGGATGCAGCCACTGCTGATGTGGCGCTTTGCGCGCGACGCGGCTGGTGTCAACTGGCTGTTGCGGTTGCTGTTGTTGCTGCTGTTGTCGTTGTTGTCGTTGTTGGTGCTGTCTGGGCGTGGTGAGGCCGGCGTGCTTGTGTACGCGGGCTTGCTGCCCCTCGGGGTGGGCGGTGCCCGGCGGCAAAACGTCAAGCGGCGCATCCTGCGTTTCGAAATGCACTTGACAGCGCACACCTGGTTGGTGTTCACGTCGCGCGCCAGGCGCACGGTGCCAAACGCGCCCTTGCCCAGCAGCTTGAACATGCGATACTGATTCACCTGCTCAATGTCCTCGCGCTTGATGGCGTTGACGCGGTCCGTCTCGATGGTGGAAGACCGCTGCCGCATCTCAAGACTCGACCGCCCGGCCTTCTTCTCTGCAGGTGTCATGGACAGCGTGTAGCTCCTGTCCTCCGCTGCACGTGCGCGGTGATGGTTCACAAGGCGGTTCACAGCTGCAGGCTTTGCCGCGCCGTGACCACTGCTGTTGCTGCAGTTGTCGACCATGTTTTGTTGTTCCTGTTCTTGGTCTTGCTGCGCCTGCTGTTGCTGTTGCTCTTGTTGCTGCTCCTGTTCCTGTTCTTTGCAGTGCTCTTGGTCTTCTTGTTGTTGTTGCTGCTGCTGCTTCTGCTTCTGGTTGATGTGCGCCGAAGGTGTTGGCGATGAAAACGAGGACGACGACGATGGGGCGTTGGGTGCAATGGCCCGCGGCTTGTGCACCTCGTGAAGCAGCGTGTTCGGCGTGCGTGCACGCATGTTGGTGGCAGCGGCAGCGGCGTGATGGTGATGTCGCTGTTGTTGTTGTTGTTGTTGTTGCTGTTGTTGTTGTTGCTGGTGGTGGTGGTGGTGGTGAACGTTGGCAGTGGATGCAAAGTGCGGGTGGTACGGGGACGGCGATGGCGCAACGGACGAAGATGGGGTCGATGCCATCGACGAGCAGCTGCATGTTGTGGACGGAAACGACGCAGCACGTGCCGTCATCATCATCGTCATTGGCACCGCGTGGTGGCGATTGTTTTCTTGTTGGTGGTGTTGGTGGTAGTGTTGGTGGTGCGGTTGGTGGCTGACGTCGTCACTGTGCGCTGGCGCGAGCAGCTGTGTGCTGGAGGATGATGGTGATGATGACGATGACGATGAGCACAGGTGCGCGTGTGAGGTGGCGGCAGCTATGCTCACGGCATGCGCATCTTCATTCTGCTGTGCGTGCAGCTTGCAGCCCGCGCTGCGGAGTTTGGAGCTGAGCATATGCATGTCTGCAAACACATGCGGCTCCTCCTGCTGTGCGGGTGCAGTGTCGCTTCTGCTTTGGCTGCCGCTGTGTGTCGATGGGGATGATGCCGACCGAGACAGGGCGGCCGCCGTGCGTGAGAGCTGCGCCCATCGCAGCGCAGATTCCTTTGCTGTGGCGCGCTTGCGCGCGTACACCTGGCGTGACGCAGATGGTGTTGACGATGGCGCGTCTGGCTGGTGGCGTTGTTGTTGCTGTTGCTGTTGCTGTTGTTGAAGAGAGGATGGAGGGGAGAAAGTGAGGGGTGCGCTGTCGTTGTGCTGTGCAACGAGGGCACAAATCTTTTCCTGCTGCTGCGATGTGTTGCTGCTGCTGTTGTTGTTGCTGCTCTTGGGCATATTGGGTGTGGTGTTGTCGCCAGCGCTGCTGCAGTTGCTGTTGAATGAGGATGAGGGGAAGAAGGCGAGCTTCGATGTGCTTGTGCGTCTTGATGGGGAAACGTTCTTGCTCTCCAAGTCTCCTCTCGCGTACATGGCTCAATCTCGGAGAGGCGGGGAGGAGGGAAATGGACGTGGCTGGTGCACGTACGTATGTCTGGGAAAAGGGATCTGGACGAAGAAGTGGGATTGGGGGAGACAGGGGGGGGGGGAAGAGAAGAGAAGAGGGGATGGGAGAAGGTGGTGCAAAAGTGTAAAGGTGTAACGTCGTCGGTCAGTAAGATCGTGTGCGCGCGAGAGAGACACGAGTAACGTGTGTGTGTGTGTGTGTGTGTGTGTGTGTGTGTGTGTGTGTGTGTGTGTGTGTGTGTGTGTGTGTGTGTGTGTGTGTGTGTGTGTGTGTGTGTGCGTGTGTGTGTGTCTGTGCGCGTGTGCGCGCGTGTGTGTGCGTGTGCGCGTGTGTGCGGTGTGCCAGAACGGAGGGCGAGCAAGACCCGTTGATGTGAGGGATACGCGTACCCAACAAGGAAGCGAGGGTCAGAAAGATTATAAGACGCAGACGAATGGTTGGTTGCGGTAACACAAGGTGGTTGGTTGAATGGTTGGTTGGTGGGTTGCAAGGAAGGTGTTTGTTTGTGTGCGTTTGATTGTCGTCGTGATGGAGGAGGAAAGATGCTCGTGCAGAGGAGAATGGCAAAGGGAGGCGGGAATGCGATTCGGCAACACACAGACATACACATACACACACACACACAGACATAGGCACACGCACCCAACTGCCCCAACACCGCTCATGACCTGGCACGATGCCAAGGAAGACCTACCAGTGAGTGGTGGCGTATGGCGATGTGAAGAAGGAAGGGAGGTGTGATTAGAGTGCGAGTGGAGAACGCGACGATGGCTTGAGTATGGGTTGGCACTCGTGGTGAATAGTTTATGAGCGAATGCGAGTGTGGTGTTGTTGCTGTTGGCGTCGTCGTTGCGACTGTGTCACCCACCAAGCACGCGTGTTGCTTATTGTTCCCCAAGAACAAAAAAACTGAGGAGGGTGCTTGTGCTGCTGGTTGGTACTGGAAGCAGTGCTGCTTGTGGGCGCGCTCGTGCTTGTCAGCCTTTGAGACGGCCAGTGCCGCGCATACCAGGCAAGGACCAATGCGCGCGCGCGTTCAGAAACAGCAGTTCAGAAGCAGCAGTTCAGAAGCAGTTCGGGAGGAATTGTGGGAATGCTCTTCGTGCTTTGGATGCCACAGGCAAGTTGGCAGTATGTAGTGAGCAAGGGCGATAAGGTGTCGCTGCTGTTGTTCTTGCTTGCTAATTTGTAGGCGAAAATGGCTTGTTGGCTGGTTTGCTGGTGGGTGATGGTGGAATGGCATCAACGCATGGCACTCCAGCAATGGCTGCGATTGCCTGGCTGGTGGTGGCTTCCTTCGAGGTTGCACTGCATCCCCCAACCACGCCAAAACATGCGATTGGTTGTGTCTGGCCAGGAAAAAGGCGAGAAGTGGGCAGAAGACCGATGTTGCTTCAAGGACATCCAAAAATTGGGAAAATCAATAAATAACATACAGCAATTATCCTCAAGACCACATCTTGCCTTGAATGTCTTGACTAGTGGCGTTGGTCAGGGGGCGCGCTTGCACGAGAACGCCGGGTGACGTGAACGACTGACCGGCGTGACACTTGTTTGCTTGGGGGAAAGGAAAAACAGGCAGGCGCACGGACACACGAGCGCGCGTGTGCGTGTCTCGTGAGAACGTGCACAAATGGGGTTGGCTTTGTTTGGCTGAGAGTTTAGTGGGGAACAGTTTACGTCAGCGTTGTGTGATTGATGTGACGTTGCGGTTGGCCGTGGTGTGTGTGTGTGTGTGTGGCTTTGTTGACGTCATTCGGGCGGCATGTGTCTTGCTTGCATGCAGGATGACGTGATGACTGTTGCTGACTGACCAAAAGCGGATGATGATGATGACAGCTCACATTCAGATGATGTATGTATTTGCAAGATGCAAGCTGCTCTAGCGCTTGCACATTAGTGTGTTCTGTTCAGTTGTGGTTGGTTTGGCTCACGCTTCCTGGAGTTGACTTGTCACGCAAGTCGATTCTCTTTAAACAATCTGCTCACGCAGCGAATGTGTCGTTAGGAAAAATACGGGTTGGAGAGAAAGGAATGGGGGGGGGGAAGGGGAGGAGGGTGACGGCAATCGTAATCGTAGGCGATAATGACACACAAGGGAAAAGCACACACACATACACATACACTACACACATACACATACACATACACATACACATACACACACACGCACACGCACACGCACACACACGCTGAAAAACAACCACAGCAGCTTGGCGGGTCATGCAGCCTGGCCTGCCCAAGTGCACAACAGCGTCGCGTCACGCGTCGGCCTTGAGCTGACGGGTGGAGAGCTTGACTTGCTCCCCAGGCTTGAAGGCCGGCATCCCAAGATACGGGCACGTCGCACACCGGAACGCGTCCCCAAGATAGCACTGTGTGTGTGTATGTGTGTGTGTAGTGTGTGTGTATGTGTGTGTGTGTGTGTATGTGTGTGTGTAGTGTGTGTGTGTGTGATGTGATGTGACGTTTGCAACAAGCACAGGCAGGACGCAGAAGAAAGGCCAGCAACAACGCCAACAGAGAAGAAAACCAACACGTACTGCCACACACACACACACACACACACACACACACACACACACGCACATACACACACACACACACACGAGCACAACAAGTCCTCCCCTCGGGCCCTTACGTTGCCGCAGGACGAAGCAGCGACGGGTGCGGCTGTGTCGTTGGGCGCGCTGTCCTCGGCTGCTGCATCAGCGCGGCCGCACGTGCAGTTCTTGCACGCCTTTCGCGACCCGCCCGTCACCTCGCAGTCATCCCCTACAAAGGCGTGCGTGCGTGTGTGTGTGTGTGTGTGTGTGTGTGTGCGTGTGTGTGTGTGTGTGTGTGTGTGTGTGGTGACAACAAGCGAGAGCATGATGTGCTGTGAGTGCAATGCGGATGAAGCGAAAGGTGATCGAAACGCACACAAGTCCCCAAACACACACGCACACGCACACAGACACAAGCTGGCAGGTAGCATGGGGAGTACGTACGTTCTGGCGCTGTGGACGCCATTGCAATGTCGACCTCATCAAGGAACTCCTCGCCGTCATCTTGGAACAGCTGCGACCATTCGCACAATTTTCGAATGGTGCACGTCAGATGATGGTTTAACAGAGAGCCTTTGCATATTTGAAAGCACACACGCACGACGATACTTGATCCAAACATCTGCACACTCACACGCTCACACACACACACACACACACACTGTACACATTTACAACAGCAGTTGAAGGGCACTGACATCGTCGTCGTCGCCGCCGTCAAGAGTCCACACGGCCTTGGTCTGCTCGCTCGGCGCCGGCGCTGTTCGGTGGTCGGTGGTGGAAGCAACGTTGAAGCAACGAGGGGGGAGGGGGTCGAGTGAGTGATGATGCAACCATCAAGCAGCACGCATGCAACGCGCACACACACACACACACATACACACACATACACACACATGGAGCAACACATGCAACACACACACACACACACATATGCAACACACACACACATATTCACCATGTAAGCACGCCAAGTACATCAGACCTTTCTTGCCAAAGGAAAGCTTGAGCTGCGCGGACGAGCCCACCGCGTAGTCGGGTGTGCTGCACGACGCCTGCCAAGGAGTGCGGGAATGTTGTGTTGGTGAGTGCATGTGCATGTGTGAAGGAACGTAGGCACAACATGAGGGCAAACGCAACAAGTAAGCCATCAAATGGCACAACGACACTCTACGACGCTCTTGCTGTTGCAGGAACGAGAAGAGCCGATGCGCACCTTGACGCCGCCCACGTCTGCGCTGGTTGTGGACACATCGACAAAGCCCGCAAACTTGAGGGCCGCCGCAACATCGTCGGCAGAGCGGCCTAGAACGATGAGGCACACCACAACCGCATGAGCAAAGGTGTGACGATGACGACAGCTATAAGACAAGCGGTGGAGTGGCGACGAAAAGCAAAAGTGCACACACACAGACACAGATACAGACACACAGACACAGACACACACGCGCACACAAATGCACACAGACACACACGCACACACAAATGCACACACAACCGCACACACAACCGCACACACGAGTAAACACACACACACACACACTCAAGTGCACGCACGAACACGCAGGCAAACGAGTGCTTACCTGCGTTCTCGCAGACGTGAACCTTGCCGGCAGCGATGGCGGCTTTGGCGAGAGCAGAGAGCTGCTCACTAGTGTACGTGGTAGTGCAAGCGATGGGGAACCCGCACAGCACCACGTCATATGACGCCGCACTCAAGGATGCTGAACACAAAGGGAGAGCGAGAGGAGAATGGAGCGCGAGAGGGAGAGGGTGAGCGGCAAGCGTTCTAAGCTTGGCACATATACACACACAGATACGCACATATACAAACAGACAGACAGGCACGCACGCACACACATACAAGCAGACAGACAGGCAGGCACACACACATACGTACACACAGACACACCTGATGAGAGGGAGTCTTGTGGTTGGAGGGTGACGTTGCCATCTGCACCCACGACATCACGCAGCTGCGCTGCAAGCGCATCCACGGCCTCCTGAGAGGCACCAGCGCTCGTCTGCACACACGCCAAAGAGCACGTCGACAGGCGTTGCGAACATCGACAGCAGCAACAGCAGCAGTAGCAAGTCAGCGATGACGATCGAAGTGCTGGTGTTTTGCATTACAAAAAAGCACGTTGATGCACACATTGTGCACACGCGCGCAGAGGTCGCTTCTTGTCGGTACGCACCACGAGCAGGACGCGCTGGCCTTGGGCGACGTGAGATGCCATCGTGTGTGAAAGCAGGCGAGAAGAGGGACGAAGAGGAACAGAGACGCTTGGCAGACAATGGAGGGAGGGGAGGTGATCTGATGTGAGACTGGAGATCTGAGCTGGTGCTGGTGGTGCTGGTTTTGGCGTTGTTGTTGTCGTGGCTGCTGCTGTCTTGACGCAATTATGGTGTCATCTATTGCGGTGGATTGTCGAGTGCGCATTAAATTACCTGTAATTTCCGTGCGAATCGTAGACAGCCCATTTGAACCACACACAGGCAACTCGCAGCAACAAGAGAGAGCCAAGACACGAGACACACCACCTTCCACACACACACACACACACACACACATACATACACAGCGTCTGCATCATGTCTGGGTACGGCAGCTACGGTGGTTCCTCGTCGTACGGCTCTTCGCCTTCCTTTGACAGCGGCCCCAGCAGCTTTGGCGGCGACTCGCAACCACAGCAGCGCGTCTCCCGCGACGAGCTCGAGCAGCAGGTGTGATGATGTGTGCATCGCGTGCATGTGGTGTCTCAGTGAGGATGGTGGTGTTGGGCACGTTATGTGCGTGCGTGCGTGCGTGTGTGTGTGTGTGTGTGTGTGTGTGTGTGTGTGAATGTGTGCATGTGTGCATGTGGTGTGTGTGCATGTGTGCATCACGTGTGACTTGTGTGTGTGTGTGTGTGTGTGTGTGTGTGTGTGTGTGTGTGTGTTGGGTGCTGTGGGTAGCTGAGCGCTCACCAACACCAACTTTGTGATGGGAACACGTGCAGCTCCAGCAGCAGATTGCCGTGAGCCAGACACAGGTCCTCATGCAGGTGAGGCACCGGCCTTGATTCGCCTCTTGCATGTTTGTGAATGGATGGGCGAACGGGTTGTTGAGTGGGTGGGCGGGAAAGGCGCTGTCTTGCGCTGCTTGCTGTTGCTTATTGCTGCTTGTGTGAACGTTGTTGGTGTGGTTACATTTATTGCTTGCTGGCGGAGTGTTGCGTGTTGATAGCTGCGCGCTCACTCTAACTCACACGACAAATGCCCATGACGTCCATCTTGCTGTGACATGACAGCGCATGTCGGAGACCTGCTTTGCCAAGTGCGTCACCAAGCCATCCAGCACGCTCTCCTCCTCAGATAAGGTGTGCTACAGAAGAGTGGATGTGTCACCGGTTGATGCGTGAACGTCATTAACACTGAAGTCACTGTCACACCTATATTGTGGAGTCCCATGTGCTGCTTCCTCCTTCCGCATGTGGTTGCTGCAAAGATGGTAACGCTGGTTGCCGTCCCCCCTCCCTCACCCATGCCCCACCTCACTCCATACACATGCTGTCTCCTTCAGAACTGCATCACGCGGTGTGCGGACCGGTACTTTGAGGCGTTTGCGCAGGTGCAGCGCTCGTACCTCGAGGCCCTCCAGCACCAGTAATTGCACCCGTGCCAATATGCGCAAGGCAAACATGAGCCCCGTGTGTGTGCTTGCGCATGTGTATGCATGAACACATGCAAGCACGCGCAAGCTGGTGCATGTGCTTGTTATCTGTTGTAGCCTTTGTAGTGATGTGACAAGGTGGTGTGAAGTTGGGTGCATGGGATTGGAGAGAGACACTGTGTGCGTGTGTGAGTGAGATTGAGGTGCGTAGGTCAGCGAGCCTTTGTCTGTGCGGTGTCTGCATTGACTGTGACTTGTTGTGATGATTCGAGTACAAGACCGACAACAACAACAAGCAAGCAAGCAAGAAGCAAGGAGGGACAAACAAAACAACAGCCAGAAGAAGAACAGTGGAGTTGCCACACTTCAACATAATCATCACACAACAACCAAAACAACAACAACAACGAAGCAACAACAGTGACAACCAGCTGTGGAACTTGGAGGGGCCAGAGAACGATAAGGGAAGGGAGGCCCAAAGGATAGCGGAGAGTCCAGCACGCACGCAGATCGCAGCACCTCGTACACAGTACACAGCGGACACTTGCCTCACACACGCACACACACGCACACACATACAGACGCAGTGCAGTGCCATGCTTCGAAAGAGTACGTTGTCGAGAACGTCGTTGAGAGACACGCATCAAGGCTGCTGCCCACCCATGAAGATTGGTTCTCTCATCACCGTGCCTGTTGTTAGATGGTCCACGCACACACACGCACACACACTCACACACTCATACACTTGCGGCGCTCGAATGCGAACTTGCAGAGAAAGACGACCCTGCATCGCCTTCGGCCAAGCAGGGATCAAGACCATCACAGAGCAACACAGACCCGTCGCGACAAGGTGTGTGTGTGTGTGTGTGTGTGTGTGTGTGTGTGTGTGTGTGTGTGTGTGTGTGTGTGTGTGTGTGTGTGTGTGTGTGTGTGTGTGTGTGTGTGTGCTGCCGGCCCTTGAGGTGGTTTGACTGCTTAATCGCTGCATGATGGCTGCGCGACATGAAGGCTGCGCGACATGAAGGCTGGCGTTCAGTCTCACCCTGTGCAACGACGATGGCAACACTCACGCACACACATATGCACATGACCACGTACACCAGGAGCACTATCCAGGGATGGCAGCGGCACCAGTCTAGTGAGAAGACTCAGCAGGCGCAGCAAAGCAGAGACGGCAAGGGCGCAACACAGGCGCCTCAAATGCTGCCCCTTAACCACAACACACTACGACGAGGTATGTGTGTGTATTTGTGCGTATGTGTGTATGTATATGTGCATCTGTGTGTATGTGTGTGTATGTGTGCGTATGTGTGTATATGTATATGTGCATGTGTATATGTGCATGTGTGTGTGTATGTGTGTGTGTGTTTGTGTGTTTGTGTGTGTGTGTTTGTGTGTGTGTGCTTGGCTCATCGTAGACGATCTTCAGCATGTGCAACTTCACAGTCCCCTTCTCACCAAACACACACTCACATACACACAATGCACACACACACACACACACAATGCACACACACAAACCAGGCGGAACGATATCACCGCCCTGTGACAAAGTCGAGACTGTACACAAACCTTCACGACATTATCAGCGACAACAACGCACGCGCGTGCTTCTTACAGTTCTTGGAAGGGACAGAGGTGGTGCACACCGTGCAGTTCCTGCACGATGCGTATTGCGTCTACCAACAGTGGCGACAGATGCCCTCAAGCCCACGCGACGGTGTGTGTGTCTGTCTGTGTCTGTCTGTGTGTCTGTCTGTGTCTGTCTGTGTGTCTGTCTGTATGCGTACATGTGTTCATGTGTGCATGCTTTTCCAGCTGACACGTTCTACTCTCACACCTTCGTCGTCATCACCATCACTGCTGCCATTTCCGTGTTCAGAGGAGCTTCCTCACCAACGGCGGCTGCTTGACGCGCACTTTGGCAACGATGCAGCTGCGCTCCCAATCCCGCCAGAGACCCAAGTCAAGGTACAGCTAGCGCAACCTGCTTGCCTTTCTATTTACTCGCGCGCGCGTGCATGTGAACCTGTGGACAACCAACTAAACAACATTTGCATCATCACCACCACCTCTTGACTGCAACCACTGCCCATCTCACCACCAATCACACCACCCACCCATGGCCAACATGCAACCAACCAATCAAACCACTAATCAACACCCGCCCCCCTCCCCTTCCACGCACCCAACACTGCCATCCAACCGACCATTCAACCAAAACCACTCATCACCCTCCACGCACCACCAACCAAACCGCCACCAGCTGACGACGCGGCCGGATGCGGCCTCGCTCGCTGCGGCCATCGCCGCCGTCGAGTCGGCACTGCAGCAGGTCTCCCTCCCCGCGTTTCTGCGCAGCCAGCACTACGCTGCCATGTGCAGCGCTCTCCTCACGTCACCAGAGGTGTGTGTGTGTGTGTGTGTGTGTGTGCGCGCACGCGTTTATACATGTAGTGTGTGTTAGCACTGGTGTGTGTCTGCGTCTGTGTGTGTAAACATGTATGTGTGTGTTAACATTGGTGTGCGTGCGGGATGCGCCTGCCTCTCACCCATATGCACGCACTCACTCACGTGTGCGCATGCGTTTCACCACGGACGCCAGCTACGATTGGAGGACATTGTGCACAACGACGAGGTGTTGATGGTGTTTATGCAATTCCTGGAGCGGCACAACGCATCCACTGTCATCCATTTCTGGCTCCTTGCGGACAATTTCGCCAACACGTTTGACGCCACGTCACCGGAGCAGCGCAAGGAGGACGCGCTCGGCATTTACAACCGCTTCTTCTCGCTGCAGTCGCCCGAGCCCCTCGGTGTTGACGAGCAGGCGCGCACGGCTGTGGAGGCGAACATATGCAGCGATGCCGGCGTTGGTCGCGAATGCTTTGCGGAGCCGGATCATATTGTCTACACTGCTCTCAGATTGCACTTCTTCCCCCTCTTTCGCGAGAGCGAAGACTTTTCACACTACCTCGCAGGTTCGTGTGGATGTGTGTGTGTCATGTGTGTGTTTGTGTGTGTGTGTGTGTGTTTGTGTGTGTGTGTGTGTGTGTTTGTGTGTGTGTGTGTCTGTGTCTGTGTGTCTGTGTCTGTGTGTGTGCGTGTGTTGTGTGCGCGCACGTGTGCCATGCGTGTTGTGTGTGCACATCAGCGGTGTCTGGCCCCCTGTCACCAAAATCATGCCCACTCTCACGTGTGCCATACCCACCACTGTCCCATCCCCGTCTCTCTCCTCATCTTCAGAACTAAGCAAGCACGGCCTGGACGACAGCGGCGCGCACCCACACTCGCACGTGGGCACGAAGCACGTACGAAAGTACAGCCATGACCCGAGCTGTCTTGGGTACGTCGATCACTTTGGACTGTACATCCGCGACGCCGCCGTCGCCATGGAGCCGAGTCTCGACACAGACCTCCTCCTCACAGGTAGATTGTTGTGTGTGTGTGTGTGTGTGTGTGTGTGTGTGTGTGTGTGTGTGTGTGTGTGTGTGTGTCTGTGTGTGTCTGTGTGTGTGTGTGTGACTCTGTGTGTGTGTCTGTGTGTGTGTCTGTGTGTGCACACGTTCCACCCTCAATAACAGCTTGTGGTGTCTGTGTGTGCACACGTTCCACCCTCAATAACAGCTTGTGCTGTGGTGTTCGTTGTGCTTCTCCTTTATCCGGCCCCTCAACTGCACTGCATCCCGTGTCAGGTATTGGTGTTGGCATCGGAAGTCGCATGAAGAAGGCGTTTGGTCGCAGCAGTCAAACCCCGCAGGAGGAATTGGTGCGTTCCTGTGCGACTGTATGTGTGTGTGTTTTGTGTGTGTGTGTGTGTATGTGTGTGTGTGTGTCACTTCTGCCTCTTCATGTCGCACTTTCACCACGTCCTTTCCTCCAACTTCCCCTTAACCAACTGCACCACCAACCTCCACTTACACGTCACCACCCCTCCCCCCTCCCACACACACACAACCCCTCCCCCCTCCCACACACACACACACACACACGACAGTTCCAAGCGTGGGAAGCCGCAAAGAGTGTTGTGCATGAGATTCGGGAGCAGATGTTCAAGACGGGCGTCCTGTATCGACCGCAACTCGCATGACATCCGCGCCACGTCATTGGTGCCAACACGTGTGGCGTCATGTCATGTCATGCCATGCCATGTCATGATACGCCTGTTTGATGGTAGCAACACGCTTGTCCTTTCTTCTGATTATTTAGACTGCGCTCGCGCGTGAGTGTTTGTGTGCTTTGGAGGAGTAAGCAAATAAACAGCCAGCGTCTGCTATGTGCTGCTGTACTCTCAACGACGCAAACATATGCCGCGCCGCCACCCCCCTCGAGATACATGATCGTGTGGATTGATGGCTTTGTATATGACGATCTCGACTCGCCTACATCGATCATCTCGCCGCATCTTTATCGATGTATACATATACGCCCCTACCACATCTCTCTCTTCATTTATACACTGCTCGATCTCTCTATGATGCATATATAGATGTCGATGTAGTCGTTGCTGCTGTTGATGTTGATGTAGATGTAGATATCGATGATGGTGGTGGTAGAGGTGGTGTAGTATAATCGCATATTAGATCTCCATCTCCATAACA